CTGAGCTCTTATTTCATCTTCACAACCCTCACTATGGGATGATGTCATCAGGTGATATTTGCCAAAGGCCTCATTGCAGGTTAGGCTGGGCCCAGGCCAGAGCCCGGTGCGCAGTGAAGAAAGTCAGGAAGAGCAAAATGGGACCCTCAAACCACTACGGAAGAGCTGAATTCTAGTCCTCATTCTACCACTAACCCTGCACCTAACTGTGGGCAAGTGACTCCGCACACTGGGCTTCAGCGTCCCATCTGTAAAATGAGGGCCTTGACTTCAAGGATTGTGTGGGTTCCTTGAGCTTTAGCATTCTTTGGCTAATACCCAGACAATTCCTGGAGAGACGCTAGGACCTTGCTAAGCCAAGTGGTTAGGCAGGAAAGGGCACTTTGCCCTGTATAGAGATTTCCACTCACTCCTTTGGATTTATATTAAAAAAAAAAAGAGACATTGTAACAGAAATCATGGAAAAAATGGAACTTGAAAAAAAATGTGGGGATTCTCTGGATATAGGGGAAAGTGGAGTAGACGCTTAGAACTGGCTTCCTTGTTTATTTACTTATTTATTTTCGCAAGTATCAAAAACATATACAGCTGGCAATTTAAGGCTGATCTCTGGGGATTTGCAACTTTTGGACCAACTGTAGTAAAACTGCGAAACAACAACTCAAACAAAACCCCTTCAAATTGCCTCCTTGTCTCTTACCACAGCCATTCCTTTTCCTGGTTGGTTCCTCCTTGGTGCCTGGACCCTTTATGGTGTTCTTCCAGCTTCTGGATGCAGTGGGCCTGGCGTATGGTGATCCTTCTTTAAAGTTTTATTTTTCACACATTAAATAACTCAAAGTTTCAGAGGCATTGCTCAGGTACAAAGTAAAATCTTTAGATAAGAATCACCTTTTCTTCTCCATAGCTCCTCCCTCCCCTATTAAAGGGCTTCTGTTGGGATTCTTGCTCCCATGCCCTTTGCTGTAACCCTCACAGTGACCTCTGGCTCCTGGGATCAGCCCCTTCTCCCCCTACAGCTGCAAGCCCACCTGCCCGCTCAAATCCAGCCAAGCCCTGGGACTAACTCACAGCTGCTCTGACTTAAAACTCAAGCCCTTAGGGCAGTGGTTCTCAACCTTGGCTGCACATTAGAATCACCTGGGAATCTTTTGAAAATCCTGATTTCTGGGCCTCATCCTCTGGAAATTCTGTTTCTTTGTTACTAATGTGGTGGCCTCACCCCATAACAAAGAAACAGAATTTCCGGAGGATGAGGCCCAGAAATCAGGATTTTAAAAAGGTTCCCAGGTGATTCTAATGTGCAGCCAAGGTTGAGAACCACTGCCTAAGGGGATCCCTTGGCCATTGGGGGTTGGAGAAAGGGAGGGGGGAGTTGGAGGGAGGGATGTGGAAGGGAAGATTGAAATGGAAAGAAAATGTGGCCAACTGTGCTGGCTCCTCCAGCCGGCAGAGAGGGGTGGGGGTGGGGTAGGGGAAAGTAAGAAGAGTCAAATGAAAAGCAGCAGCATCTCTTGTCTTCCCAACCCCATTTTCCTCGGCGCAGGGCGCAGTCAGCCTTTCACAGACTTGTTTCAAAGGGAGGGGGTGCGGGTGGGAAAGGAATCTGCCTGCGTCGGTTTTCCATGATCCTGTTCAACCCAGACACAAATTTGGTCACGAAACCTAACTCTGGAACTGGACTTCAGCATGGCATTTGGACCAGGTTTGGAGTGGAAGCTAGGGTGATGGAGGCCAAACCCCTAAAAGAAGCAAAGACTTAATTCATTTTTATTGAGGTTTTTTTTTTTTTCTTCTCCAGAAGCATATTTTCTTTCTTTCTCTCTTATTTCTCAATGACGGCACTGAAACCCAGAATCAACTTCTTCCCGCACCCCCAATTTAATGTCTCCCTGGCAGAGCAGAGATCTCCCAGACCAGGGCAAAGATGCGTGCAGCAGCCCCCCCTTCCCCCCACAAAGCCACAAGAGTCCTGCAAACAATGCCCAAGCCCGGCCCTTCCTCGACTCGATCGATCCAGCTCACCCATATTATTGAGCTTGGCCCACCCAATAAATAACTCGTCTCCCGCCTCTCTCCAGTCTCAGACACTCTGCCCTGTGTTTCTATATGTATCTTTGCCCCTCCATTGGGCGAAATAAAATGCAGGGCCCC